TTACAAGAAGCAGCTTGCCCAGGCGGACATCTACAAGAGGGAGGCAATTCAGGCTGAACAGATCCGGCTCATTGAGGATAATGAGGCCAACTGCGCCAAACGCATGCGTCATGCATGGAGCCTGTCCTTCCATGATGTCTACTATGAGTACTTTTGTTTGCAATATGATTACGCAACCATTGCACTCAATGCCGAGCAGTTGGGTGAGCAAGCGTTGCCGCAGTTTGAGGAGTGGACCAACTAAGGCGATGATTAGGTGGCTGCCGACCAGGAGGAAGAGGTCGAGGAGGTCAATGGAGCTGAGGGGCAAGTCAACTTAGCTGTGCAACTGGTTGATAATGCGGATGACTCAGAGCAGCCTCAGCTCATCCAAGATTAAGCTTTGATTATGTTATTTCGACTAAAGTGTCGTTTGCTTTTCCGGCCTGTGTGCCGAGTATCCATGTACTATTTCAACAATATTTCTGCCGGTTGCACAACCGGTTTTAACAATTTTCTTTTATTGCCGACCGTGAGGTCGGTTAATATTTTAATATTTGTGAATAAGCCGACCGTGTAGTCGGTTTTGCTTCAATTTTGCGAGTTTTTGAATTTTTAGTATATGCATGAATTTAACTAAGTCCTTAGTTTCTTTATTCAATTCATGCGGTCACTGTTGTACTTGTTGCCTTTGCCTTTGGACAGCAGTCTGGTTGGTTTAAAAAAGGGATTGATTAACTTAGGGATTTTTGATACTTTTAAGAGTATGACTAATTCCTTGGTCAATTAATCACTACCGTGATTGCCCCAAACCAAGAGGACAATCATTCATCAAGCAATCGGTATCAAAAAGTCGATGAGGTTTTGGCATTCAGACGACTATTGACCATTCCTATGCCATTGGATTGGCGGTTCGCTTTTTGCCGTCTGAATTACATAACCAAGCCCTTGCTAAGCCTTTGACTAAGTCTTAAAAACCACGACCTTAAAGAAGGCCAGACGGATAGAGAACTAGCTATTCTAGACGGCTATCGGCCATTTTAGTCACATTGGATAGATGGCTTGACCGTTTGTGTCGTTAGCTTCAAAATTTTTCATTTTGACATTCTCATTGAGAATATTAGACGGTCTGAGTTATAAATTTGCGTAGTTTATTATAACTTAGGTAAATCCAACTTTAGACTCAACTTTGACCAAATTTGGCTATAAAAATTTCACGGTTAAGAGCCGTCTGATTTCCCATAGAGCAGGCGGCTTCCGTTACTGTTTGTCTCACACGTTGGCAATCAGCATGAGTGTGAGACTTAACCGATTTGGTTGGATTTTAGCTATCTTAATAATTGTGACTTAACTAATTTGATTTAATTTAAGTTTTAGGTAACCAAGCGGTAGAAGGCCGTTCTTGTTACAATAAGGGAAGACGGCCTCCTTTGGCCATTTCGGTTTAAAAATGGCAATTAAAAACGTTTGTGGATTGTTCCATTTAGGGCAGTCGGCTTAGCCATTTGCGGAGCGAGTTTATAGAGAAATGTGCCACCTAAATGGGAGATGCTCTCTTTGAGCGAAGTCACCCGAATGGATGTCGTCGAATGTGTCTTGCCAAATTAGAGTGGACAATTGGATCAGATTTATCGCCAGTACAAAGTACAGATGGTGCTTTGCCCATTCTGAGGGAGACGTATCTAACAATGTAATAAAATAAAGACAAAATTCAAACAAAAAGCAATTCTCATTACTTAAGCTTTTCATTTACAAAATTTACAAGGCTTAGAAGTAATACTTTTTCAAGTTATCTACATTCTAAGTTCTGGCTCGCTGCCTACGGTCTGGAGTTTCCAATCGGTAGGTGCCGCCTCTGACTTTTTCATAGATCCGGTAGGGGCCTTCCCAATTTGGTGTCAGTTTGCCTTGTTCATTGGCCCTTTCGGTTGCCTCCATTTTTCGTACAACAAAATTCCCCACTTTCAAGGGTCGTTTGTCAGTCTCAGGCGGTAAAAATTTCATGGCGTAAGGCGGCATTGCCTTGGCGTTTTGGTAGAAGGTCCAATGCTAGCCGCATGGCTTCCCAATTAGTCCCTTCATCATAAAACATGACTTGAAGAGTCGTGTAGACACTTGAAAATATCTCCCAAAAACTAAACCTGATGATGAACAACCTTTCGCTGCCATTATTTGTCATGTCGAGTATTTAAAACCCAGTTCAGTCAAACATATTGAGCCAACAAATCTGTCAAACCATTTATTCAAACTCAGTCCAAGTCATATCCTAGCCCAAACCCTTTTAATTCATTTCGTGTTATTTATTAATTAAGCTCGATTAATAAATAATAAAAACCCTAAGCCTAAATTTAATTCGGAATAGCTGAAACGACGCACAATATATCACGTACTTAATTATTAAGCAAGGAATAAATGAATCTGGATTGTTTTCAAGAAAACATGTGCACCATGTCACGACAGACACACCGCGTCACGGTATTCCGTGCCGTGTCACGGTATTCTGTGCCGTAACGCGGCACACATATCGTGACGCAACATTTTTCTAGGGTTTCTTCGCGGCGCCTTTTCATTTCTAGGGTTCCGTACCTCACCTTTCTTATTTTCTCTATAAATACGAACCTGATTTCTCCAATTTCGAGGGGACCAACAATCATTATCTTCTTTCTTTACCCTAAACACTAGCCACCCTATTCTCTCATAATACTTCTTTTAAGCACTCCAAGGAGTCCATACGTGACCCAAACTTCTATACTTAAACTAAGGCGTGAAAGGTAGAATAAACTGAGGGTTTTGACCAAATCAACTCTACTTTTTATTTAATTTAATTATTTCAATTTGATTTATATTTTTATTGAAGTTACTAACAATTTATTCATGATGTACCAATTCAAGGAAGCACGGAAAGTGAGTAATTAATTACTTAATTACTCTTATTTTTATTCTTTATTGCTAGTATCATGACTAGGGTTATTATTATGATTTGATTTGACTAACGATATTATGGTTAAATTGCTTCCAATGTTGATGTTTGTTCTATTCTTTATTGTTGATCACTATATTTCATGTTTAAAGGGAATATGTAATTGAATATAACGCCTAATAAGATAATTTGGACGACCGGTTTAGGTTCCGTTTTAATCTTTTGTTTAATCGAAGTGATCACGATATTTTAGAATTATTTGTTGCATTAACATTCAACCAATTTAGCTTAATAATAGTTTGGAGCAAATTGAATCTTTGATTGCATGCCTTTGAGATTGCTGGAACTACTTTTCACAATAAGAATCGAGTAGAGGCTAATACGGGCGAATGTGACTCCATGACTCACTTTGTACCATCATCCCTGATCCTCCTTTCGTGGTTCTGAACCATATGGAGTTAGTAATCTTATGGATTATGAATGGGGTGTAACCTGCACGGGTCAATCGTTGTCCCTTATCGTGGTTGCCTTAAATGATCTGTGAACGGTTTACAAGTTCCTTAAAAACTTGTTGGCGACTCCCTACTTTCCTTGTCCCTAATCGTTGTACCTAATCGTATATGTCTATTCCCACTTCCTATGATCCCAAGCATATTCACAACATTGTTACGTAGGCGTGCTTCGAATGACGCCTACAATTTGGCGACTCCATTAGGGAGGATTCTTGGTTATTTATCTATTTGAGTGATCTGTATTTAATTGAGATGAGTGGATGAGACTTGAAAGATTCTTGAATCGTATTCCTGTGATTAAATAGGCATTTTTGCATAAGCATTGACGTTTAATGCGTTTTTAGATTCGTCCCGTAGGAAAATTTCGAATGACTTGATTGCGAACGAAAAAACAGGGGCACGGGATTAATTTCTAGACTTACCGCACCACGGAAATCATGCCGTGTCACGGTACAGAATATCGTCACGCGGCATTCGGTACTGTGACACGGTAAGTTCTGTCGTGTCGCGGCAATCCAAATTTTTTTCTAGTGGCTCTATAATTTTCTCGTTATTAGCTTCCTTCGATTTTTCTGAAAAAATGTGTGTGTTCTACATACGTCTTAGCCTCCGGGGATTTAAGCTCTATCAACCCAAAAACTCTCATGGCAATAAGGGTTCATCCGAGTTATTAAATCCACCCAAACCATGGAGTCGAGTTCGATTTAATCACGACCTTGCGGAGCCACCCGTTGGCATACACCCTCAAGGGAGGCTGCCTTGCTAACGCGTCCAAACTCTTAACCATGGTACCCTTTTGACACCAAATAAACCTGATCATAGTGGAACATGTAACTTGACCATAGGTTACGAACTCTTCTTTGCATCATTGTGCCTACGTGCCCTATGTGTGTATATTTGATCATTTCGATCCTAACCTTAATGATCTTTCTTTGTCTATAGTGGTTTATGACCGTATTCACTTAGTAATTAGCGCAAACTCTAAAATTGACAAAAAACTGAAAAAAACGCACAAAAACAACCTGGAACTGAAAATCGTGCCGCGGCAGAAATATCGCGTCACGGTAAGCAGTGCCGTGTCACGGCAACTTGTACCGCACCACGGTAGAGTTTATCGTGCCGCGACAGTTGTACCGTGTCACAGTGCCCAGGTTTAAGTCTAGTCAGTCCCTGTTTTAGTCTTCCGTGCTAATTTTGGTCCACACGTCAGTCGTTTCGACACTCTTTACACGTCTAGCCATGCGATCATACCACGAGTCTTATAACATCACCTAATCACTCACGAGTCAAGTATAGTCCACACACTTTTTTTATTTTTACTCGAGTTGTGCACCATGTCATTTATGATCGTGCACTAGGTTCATGCATGTGTCTCCTTTTTCCGTCATAAAAAAAGAGTGGGGTTTTTCTTACCTGTTTTCAAATGTCTATTTTTCCCTCTTTCGTCCCTATTTTGAACAAGTGAGTCAAACCATTAAGTGAATTTGGTTTATATCACAGTACTTGGTCAAGAAGCAGGGGTAGATTGGTACGATTTGAGTCGCTGCCACAACAACCTCTTATACCTAAAAGGCGTTCAAGGAAACCACCATAAGCGTCTCCACAAAGCTCATCTCCATCTTTAGTTTATTTTCAACTCATGGACACTAAGGAAGATATTGAGGGAATCCACAAGTCCATTGAGGCTCTTATTGCTATGATGCAAAAGCTCACTACCCAAGTCAATACCATAGAGCAGACCAAGGTCACAATTGCTGCAATTAATAAGATCAAGGAGCTAGTGAGCAAGATTTCTAAAGAGTTCACCTACAAAGAAAAACCTTCCATTCCTTTAGATGTGAAGGATAAGCTGCCTGAAAAGTTCTCCACTTCTGACATACCCAAGTTCAAACCTTTGACAATCCAATATTCAACTTGAAGGCCTTTTCTACTACCATGTTTCTCAAGGGATTGGATGTAACACTCTTTCCTATGGTGTTCCCTCTCTCCTTAGAACATGCCGACCAACAATGGTTTTATTCTCTATATGCCAAGCACACTGCAACTTGGCAAGATGTCACCATAAGTTTCATGAATCGTTACAAGTGTAATATTCAAGCCAGAACTTCTGAACATGAACTCTGCATTCTCAAAGAGAAAAAGAATGAAGGCTTCACTACTTACCTGAACAGGTGGAGGGAAACAGCTGCACTCTTGGTAGATCCCCCCAAAGAAAGACAGATGGTTTGCCTCTTCATCCAGAACCTAACTTACAAGTATAAGCAACATTTTAGGTTCTTGCCTTTGAACACTTTCGAAGCTGTATATAATATTGGCATCAATATCAAGGATGAGCTAATAAAAACTGCGGGTAGTAACAATAATAACACTTGGAAAAATAAGAAGAACGACCTTCCTTCTTCTTCGTCTTCTAAGCCCGAAATTACTACCAACAATATTAGCTAAAGAAAAGGAGAACTTACAATCCTTTAGGAATGACATATGACATCGCCTTTGATCATATTTACGGTCAAGGTTTGATTACACCAATTGGGCCAATTCTAGAGCCAAAACCTGAACAAAGGAGTGCCAGGTGGGACCCTAATGCTCACTGTAAATACCATCAAGGAAGGGGTCATTCCACCGAGCAGTGTTGGAACTTAAAAGACGTTATATAAGATCTAGTGGATGCCAACAAACTTCTTGTCCCTCCAGGCGGCAAGAAGTGATAAGTAGCAATGAAGACAAGGCGCACGGTGAGCTCTTTATCCAAGATTTCATGATGTATTTTCTTCCCTTTCCCCAATTCAAGTCTAGCATAGAATTTCATTTCTGTAATTTGATCATTCACCATTTCCATCAATAAAATAAGCATTATTCCTTTACATCTCGATCAGGTCTTGTTTTTGCAATAAAATAAAAAAGAAAAAAAAATCAATTGTCGAACCAAATACAAGGTACATCAATGATTAGAGGCACCTTTGCAACCCATTATTCCCATTAACCATTCAAACACATATTCCATTTCTTCACTAACCATGTTAAGCCTCATCTAACGTTTTACCTTCATTTCTTCAACCCACATTAACCTAACCTGGGATGGAAAGGTGAGTGATTTGTGTAACAGTCAAAAGCAAGTTAAAAAAAAAAAAAAAAAAAAAAAAACATGTCTAAGGGCAAGTGTTCCAATGTCTTTGGTATGAACAAGTCTCAAATTGCGTTTCTCATCGAGTGCTTGGTATCGTGCCTGAAAAACATGAATGCTAAGTGAGTGATGGACCGCATGATCCGAGATTACCCACATTGATTTAAAAAAAAAATATGAAACTTGCAAGTTCAAATTTCAAATACACATCTTAGGGGGATTCTCTCGGGTCTTTAGCCTTTTCTTCTTTAAACCATTAGCTTAACCACATAACAACCCTTGAAAGACCTCTTTGAGGTGTACATACACTTGTGCAAAGTTCGACTAGAGCTACGTTCAGCCTGATTCCTAATGGATACGTAGGCAACCTCACATCGAGGTGCGGCCACATTCACACTCATCCATATATGATCGAGTCAAAACATTTCCAATGCTCATCCCTGTCCATATAGCTCTAGAATTGGGGGCTTGAGCCCACATCACTTAGCTTACCTAGCCTAAGGAGTCATCATTTTTTACTCTTCTCAAAACTATTCCCATCATCATAACCTTTGCAGGCAGCCTTAGTATCACTTTCACACACTTCATTCACATATTCATGGCCATATCCTCCTTCCCTTAGGAACCCCTTATCATGAAATCTTGTTCCCACACCACGCATGCTTCATGACGACATCCAGCAAAATCATCATCATTCGATAGTATTATCACAAATGTACTTAGCTTCCTGACCTAGGTACATTTATCAAGATTTGTTGTAATACTTGCTTAGCTTCTAGACCTAAGCAAGGCCCAAGATTGTACAATATGTATGATTCCTAGCATCCTGACCTAAGCAATACTCAGCAATCACCATTGTATACATGCTTAGCTTTCAGACCTAAGCAACTTTCAAGATGGTTTTTTTTTACACACTATATATGATGCTTAGCTCCTTGACCTAAGCAACATACATTGTCAATAAACTACTGTGCTTAGCTTCATGACCTAAGTCCATTCATTGATCGTGTCACATGATGTAATTTTCCTTAGCCTCCTGGCCTACGAACATTCATCATGCATATAATACTTTCAAGATGAGCAATTCAATTTGACAAGAAGAAAATCCATGCGATTCGTCTCACTTTGCTCAACGAGGAAACTGAAAACTTCTTCCCTTTTTCATGTCTTTTCTTTTGGGGAAGTTCAAAAAACTTTTTCAAATTTTTCTCGGCGTGAAAGTACAAAACTTCTTCTTTTTTTTCATCTTTTTTCTTTTGAGGAAGTTCAAAAACTTTTTCAAAATTTTTATCGAGGAAAGTTCGAAAACTTTTACTTCATTTTTCACGTCTTTCTTTTTCAGGAGAAAGTCGGTACCCTCCACTCATGACAAAAAATGACGAAAATTTTTTTGCATTTTTAGTTGTTTGTGTCTGCGCACACACTCAAACTATACATACACACACAGTCACATGTCATACACATGTCATGTCGTGCCAAGTCAAGCTTGGTCAAGTCAGTTGGTTATGTCAATCACAGTGCATACGAGTCCTTTGGCAAATCCCATTTTGCAGGTCTCAGGTACAACCCATGTTTGGGGACAATCGAACCATCAACAACCCATGTTCGGGGACAAACGAACCATCAATAGCCCACGTTTAGGGACAATCGAACTATCTACAGCCCACGTTCGGGGACAATCAAACCATCAATAGCCCACGTCCGGGGAAAATCGAACTATCTACAGCTTACGTTCGGGGACAATCGAACCATCCACAGCCCACGTTTGGGGATAATCGAACCATCAACATCTATATCCCACATTCGGGACAATCAAACCATCAACATCTACAGCCCACGTTCGGGGACAAACGAACCATCATCATTCATCAAACACTCAGTGATCATCCCGAAGTGCGGAAGATCGTCATTTAGTAGGCTGCTCGAGGTGTAGGAGTCTACGACATGTTTCCCAAGGCGCGGAAGCTTGTCATCTTTTATTTAGTGGATCGCTCAAGGTGTAGTGGTTCACGATAGAATTCCCAAGGCGCGGAAGACTCTCATGTGGTAGATTTCTCGAGGCGCATAAACCAACCAAACGTATTTGCTACTTGCCCATTGGTGTCAAATACGCATTCTATCCTTTTACTCTTTTATCTCTGGAACTAACGCTTTTTTTGTAGGTTTCGGCATATACAGAGTGATTTAGGATCGCAGAACGTCTTAAATCATTCCCCGTCCGTATCGGCTACTTTGACTATCGTTTTCGAAACTTACGTTTCTACAAACTCAATCAAAGTGCGTGGGGGATTCTGTAGACACCTGAAAATGTCTCCCCAAAACCGAACCCGATGATGAACAACCTTTCACCGCCATTATTGGTCGGGTCGAGTATTTAATCTCGGGAGTGCTTAAAACCCATGTTCAGTCAAACATATTAAGTCAACAAATCAGTCAAACCATTTATTCAAACTCAGTCCAAGTCATATCCTAGCCCATACCCTTTTAATTCGTTTCGTGCTATTTATTAATTAAGCCCGATTAATAAATAATAAAAACCCTAAGCCTGAATTTAATCTGGAATAGCTGATGCGGCGCACAATATATCACGTACTTAATTATTAAGCAAGGAATAAATGAATCTGGACTGTTTTCAGGAAAACATGTGCCCCGTGTCCTGGCAGACACACCGCGTCACGATATTCCCCGCCGTGTAGTAGTATATTGCACCGTGTCACGGTGTTCTACGCCGTGTTGCGGCACACTTGCCGTGACGCGGCATTTTTCTAGAGTTCCGTACCTCAATCCTCTTATTTTCTTTATAGATACAAACCTGATGTCTCTAGTTTCGGGGGGACCAACAACCATTCTCTTCTCTCTTAAGCCTAAACACTAGCCACCCTATTCTCTCATAATAATTCCCCTAAGCACTCCAAGGAGTCCATACTTGACCCGAAGTTCTATACTGAAACCAAGGCGTGAAAGGTATAATTAACTGAGGGTTTGGACCAAATCAACTCTGATCTAAATTTTATTTAATTTAATTGTTTCAATTTGATTTATATTTTTATCGAAGTTACTAAAAATTTATTCATGATGTAGCAATTCAAGGGAACGCAGAAAGTGAGTAATTAATCTCTTAATTACTCTTATTTTTATTCTTTATTCATAGTATCATGATTAGGGTTATTATTATGATTTGATTTTACTAACGATATTATGGTTAAATTGCTTCCAATGTTGATGTTTATTTTATTGTTTATTGTTGATCACTATATTGCATGTTTAAAGGGAATATGTAATTGAAGATAACGCCTAATAAGACAATTTGGACGACCGGTTTAGGTTCCTTTTTAATCTTGTTGTTTAATCGAAGTGATCACGATATTTCAGAATTATATGTTGCATTAACATTCAACCAATTTAACTTAATAATAGTTTGGAGCAAATTGAATCTTTTTTTGCTTGCCTTTGAGATCACAGGAACTACTTTTCACAATAAGAATCAAGTAGAGG